GTAAGGGCTGGCTAGGCTGTGGGCCTTGGCCGAGTTGCTTCCCCGCTGGGTGACCTAGAACCAGGCCTCGGACGGGCGGGACAGGAAGAGAGCCATACCTCCCCTCGGCCAGGCCAGCAGGGCCTCAGCACGCCCGGGGTCTGGCCAGAGGGCTCAGGGCGGCCAGGATCAGGGCTGAACTCCGGAGCAGGAGCCGTCTGAGCAGGTCTACTGGCCCAGCCCTGGGGTGCCAGGCTCCGTGCAGGAGACTCTGCTAGCGCCTCTGGGTGGCATGTGCACATGGGTGTCGGGGCAGGGCCTGTCGTCCCATCACATAGACACGGTTGCTGTGCAGGGCTGGGGTCTGAGGGTCTACCTCGAGGCTCAAGGTCATTCCAGAACAAACAACAGGAGACCTTACAGAGGAAGGAGGATCTGTGGAATTCATTACTTTACGCACGCATACTTGGAAAATAGGAATGAAATAAAAAAAAAAAAAGGCTGCAGGTCCAGTCAGGGCCAGCAAATCTATTAGTGCAAAGGACTTCAAAAAGTTCATGCAAAGATGGAATTAAAGAACACTTTTTTAAAAAATTTCTTTTCTCTCTTTCTTTCTTTCTTTTTTTTTTCTTTTGAGAGTTTTTTGCTATAGGGCGCGTGCACTCGCCAGAAAGACAGAGAGAGACAGAGGTAGAAAGTGAGAAATCCCCTCCCAGGCGGGATGGCCACAATCCCTTCTCCTCCACTCTCCTCTCAGGATCTTGGGTACGCACGCACACACACATGATGTGAGTTTAAGCCGCCGGGCCTGACACTCGAACCGCAGTCGACTACATGGGAGTCCAGCAACATAGCCATTATGCCAACTGCTGGTCCCGAGAACACTTGGCACCGAAAATTTTTGAGATCCTCGTGTACTTTTATCGTAATGTTTTCCACGAACTTACTGAACACCCTTTGTATTAGAGGCACTCCTCTAACTGCAGACACCTTAAAGGGTTTCTAGAACTTTCCATGTATTGCTGTCAACTGTGTACCAGGCAATGAGTAGTAACACGTTAGTCACAAAATCCTGGCAGGTGGAGGCGGGCAGGCTTGTCCACGGGCTACTGGTGAGAAGTCGGAGGCCCAGAGAGCTGGGACTTGATCGCGGAGCTGGTCCAGCACAGAGCTCGGATCCTGGCTGTTCCCTGTCCCCCTGGGGCTGTGCCCCCAACCATGCTCTCTCCACCTCCCTGGCAGGGGAGTCCCACAGTGCCTGGTAATGGTCTGGACACGCCACGCCCTCGACCACTGCTGTCAGCCAGCTGCCGAGGCCTGTCACCTGTCTGTACCGAGCCAGGCCTGGCATTTGGGGCCTGGGGAAAGGAGAGAGGGCAGACGCAACCCAGGTCCCCAAACAAGGCTGAAGCAGTTAGGAAGTAAAGGGGGTTGAGAAGAGCAGAGTCCTTTTATGAGTTCGCCTTTCTTTTTTCCTTTCTAGTTTTTAATTCCAGTTGGATGAGGGCACGTGTGTGGGCGGGGAGGGGAGCGCCGTGATGGGTGGTCATGCCACAGTCCCTGCTCCAGGGCTCTATCCTGTCAGGATTTGGGGCACACGTGCACGTGCCCAGCTCGTGTTTCATGTCGCCGGGGCCAGGATTCAAGCCACGCAGGTGGCCGCGTGGGATTTGAACTGCACCTCGGCTGTGCGGGACTAGGCCAGGGGGCTGGCCCTGTTGTCTGCCTTTTAAAAACGACTTTCTCAAGTGAGTACGAGCACTGAGCGGGCAGAGGCGGGGGCCTCCTGGAACAGGAGGGTGGGCCCCCGGTGGCAGAGGCTCTGGTGTCTGAGTCCGGACAGGGCCCCTGCTTGCTGCTGTGTGCACGGGGGACGGAGGCCAGTCCTCTGACTCACGCCACATCATCCACCCACAGTGGGTTGACAGACCAGGGGCCAGGCAGGAGAGGGCCCGTAGGCAGGCAGGACCCTGTCCTGTACGTTTTCCGTGGAATGACAGAGAGATCAGCAAGACCACAGTCCCCATCACTCCTCACAGCGGTCCCATGTTGGTCACTGCGGAGTCAGTGCACGTCGGCAGAGGGAC